AATTATGATGGTAGAGGAGATGTTACTGATGGAATTACATTGTGTTTTGCAAATCAGATGGCGACAATCCATTTGTCAAACAACCACCATTTGTTTAAGAGTTTGGAAATCTTTAACGCATGGGCATATGCTAAAAGAATCTTGAACGAATGCATCTCCAGGGCTAGACACGGTTGTAGGACCATGCTTCGCGATGAGGCCGCGAAAGAATGGCCATTCCAGGATGAAAGATTTGAATACTGATCAACCACCATTTGTTTACGTAGAGGATCTTGGGGCTTTTGTGGATGGACTGTTTGGACGGAGAACTGAGGAGGGCAACAACCGGCGATGCATACGGCGTGTGGGGCCATGCGAGCGAATATTACTGGGATAGTCGGCAATGGGAAGGACTTTTCCTCCATGGCGGGCGCCTGCAAGACGGATCCATCGATAAGAAGTTGCGGTGGATCTCAGCCTCGGCCGGCAGTACTTGGATGCACTTGGATGCCTGGGGATCTTGGGTCTCGGGGTCGCGCGTCCTCAATGTAGAGCCGAAAGAATCAAGATTGAGATATGAAGGCTTCTTGCGATGTTGAAATTTCGTGCCTAGAGCACAAAGCTCGGTCAAAAGAGTAATACAAGTCGAAACTCTTAAGCTAGGCACATTCTTGACTTCGTGCAGCTCCAATCCAAGCTGTGTGGTTTCGGCCCGCCATGGGCAGCAACAGTTCTGTGCGATTTCTTTCAGCAATGTTTGCTCGTCAGTCCAGTTTTATGTGGGGGTACATGTCGAGGATCGCAAAAGATCCGCGAGTGTCCATGAAACGATTTCTTGAGGCCGGGCTTCATGCCAGGAGCCTTTTGAAGTTTTGAAAGTTCGGAGCATGCCATCAGTGACACCCTTCCCCTTTGTCGTTGCCCCTTTTCGGCTTAGGGCGCTTGAGCCAAGTCCGCGGAGCATCCGCGGAGGTTACGCGGGGGTTCCGCGAAGGTTCGGCGGTTCTGCGGAGGTTCCGCGGGGGTTCCGCGGAGTTCCGCGGGGGTTCCGCGGAGGTTCCGCGGGCTTCCGCGGAGGTTGCGCGGGGGTTCCGCGGAGGTTCCGTGCCTGTTCTCTGATCGGCGAACACACGCCAAAGCGTGCGCGAAGCTGGGAAAACTCTCACCGCTCAAGTGTGCGCACAAGAACTCCAACTCGTTGAGGAAGAGGAGCTCAAGTGGGCACGGGGGAACTTGAAGTCTTTGAACTTTGAAGAAGAGGGAAAAAGTCACGACTTGGAGTGGGTTCAGCGCTGCAAAACACTTACAAAGTGGTGTTCGGAGTGGTGCTCGGGGTGGTGCTCGGAGTGGTGCTCGGGGTGGTGCCCAACCTGGCGCTCGACCCACTCCGAGCACCAGCGCGCGCACCACTCCGAGCACCACCTTAAAAAGGCATGGGTTCTTTCCCCGACAAGAGTTCCATGGTTGTCGACAAGGTTTTTCACATACGCGACAGACATTACATTTTAGGTCCGACAAAAAAGAGGGGGAAGTCCGACAACCAGCGCGAGTGAATGCGCAAGGTTTGAATGTTACCGCGGCTGTTTAGGTTTCACCCGGTATCACCAATTTCTCACGTCTTCGTAATTTCTGAATGCGCATTGTAAGTTTTTCCAGATGGTTGTGCAATGACTTACTTGTGGGATTGTAGGTAAACCTTTTATCAGCGATTTAGAACATGGACCTGTGGAAATGACTTGTTTAGATTGTAGCGCGCAGCTAAATAGGTTGCGCTGCGCGCTGTAGAGAGAGAGAGAGAGAGCAATGCCGACAGCCGTTGACACCAACAAGAAGCCTCTGGAGACTCCGATACTTTGCGGTTCCCTTGGTTCCTTGCAAATGGACCACCATCCACAAATCTTGGTGTGATACAGTTTTGTTGTTTGCGGCGGTCCGCTGCCTGGTGCTGTGAAGAGTCCACTGTGCGTTGCACGTTCGTCGCGGTGGTCCGCAAGACAGTTGCTTCATTCTTTTGTTTTTCTGGTGTTTTTCTTTGTGGTTGCACAGCGTGTTCCTAACACACAGATGTAGGTCATTGTGTGTGTTCTGTTTTCTTATGCGTTTTGATGGTTTAAAGGAAAAAGTGTTTTTCTTTTAGCTTGGTGGTGGTCCACCGAAGAAATTCAAAACGCATTCTTTGTTTTTTGCTTTTTGTTTTTTCTTCAGCAAAGCGGTTCGGTGAGTGTTCTACATTAAAAAACCTTGCAACAGCAGCGCTTTCCCAGGTAAAAAGCATAGTTTTTTGATGTCCTTCGATTTGGGCCTTGCTACTGGGAAGCTTGAAAAACATATTTTTGAACATCAAAAATCACCCATTAGAACTTACAGAACTTAAAAATAGTTACATGTAAGTTACATATTACTTACGAAGCCCTCCAGCTAACTTAGTTTTAAGTAGTTTGTAACTTCACCAAGTAAGATACAAGTGTTTTAACTAGGGGGGCCCATTGCTGTACTACTACTACTACTACTACTGCTCGGGCCCTGGAAGTTTCCCAGGTGAAATGGTCTGAGTTGTATTATTTGTTGGGCACAGGTCTCCTGATGAAAGCATTCGCTTCGGACAAAGCAGTAAGACTTGGCGCTGAAGGACTTGTGCTATGGGCTGAAATACACAACGAGGGTGATGTCAACGTGGTGCTTTTGAAATGTCATGGTGGGGATCACTCGAAGTAAAGTAATTTTGGCTATGGTGGCGTTTTGCTGCCAGTCTGCGGCTATCCTGGTGCATCTCCTTTATCATATTGGCAAGTTTGACTCATTGTTCAGAAGACATGTTGTGGGCTTCGTGGGGATGTGGGGCTGCTGCTCCGCTTTCCGTGTTTTTTCCGAACTGGTTTGTTGCCTGACGAAGATAGATCGAAATCTCCGTGAAGTGTTTAGACGATGGCTTCAAGATGCCAAGGCAGTACTGGCAGATTCAGAGAGCGCCAGAGCATATGCAAACGGCCTGGGAATCCAGACAAATGCGCGTGAAAGTTCTGAGCATGCCATCAGTGACGCCATCATTGCCATTTGTCGTTGCCCCTTTTCGGCTTAGGGCCCTTGAACCAAGCATTCTATTTGCGCCGTTGCCTTGGAGTAAACATGTGGTGAGTGCGGCTTTTGTGCGGTTTAAAATATATATGTCTATACAGTATCCCCAAGACGACGCATGCTTCGCGATGGGCCGCCATGGGTAAATTTTGCAAGAAACGGGTTGAAGAAGTCGAACAAAAGAGGCACTGTAAATGTTCAATTGGTTGCGTGTTAGTCCGTTGCCCGCCAGCGACATCACTTTCGGAGAAGTAGTTTCCAGCGCCTTTCAAGGGGGTCTATGACTGCTTCCCATGGATGTTTATCAAAACAACAAGCTTGCAACGGATTGTGATATCAAATTTCTCTTGTTTTGAGTGCTGAAACGGTGACTGTGTTAGGCCGCGATCCGGTGGACTTTCAGACGATTTCAGACACGGGGCCACAGCGGATGTTTCACACGTTGAACCTTGGCTTGTATGCGGTCACAATTTGCGCAGTCAACTCTTGTTGCAGATAAGGTTGGTGCATTGTTCCATTCCCTTTTTACAATCCTTCAACACTAAGCGCCCCATGCGCACAACTATGCTGCCATAACGGTGCATCAACGAACGCAGCGTCCCAATCACACGCGCAAATAGATTGGCGTGTATTGCCCATGTCTCATTAATCCCTTTGTTTAAGAACACGGCGGCCGCTTGAACTCCAGATCCTGGTAGTCATTGGATGCAACGGACTGGACAGACGAGTGGGAAGAGCCTGATACGGACTTATGAGCCACAAGCATGTGTCAATAGACATGCGGGGAGAAGAGCGCCAGCAGCTATATGACGACACAACTGACGACAAGGTGGCGCACCCCGCCTATATGACAGGAGGCAAGCGTGGTTTTCGTTTGGGGGGCCGCTATAGGCGACTGGTATGACTTTACAGAGATAGAAGAAAAGAAGAGAGGACCGGCGCTATGCAACCGGTTGAAATCTGATAGTCAGAAAACTCACAATTACATTCATACCAAAGACATAGTTTCACTTATGTAGACTGAATTGTTAGTAAGGGGCTCAAAATTAAGTTTGCAACATTTACAAACAAACATACCATTTCAAAGCGTTTAACTGATTTCAAAACTGTTTTGAAATAACTGAACATGATAAAATGTGCTGAAAAGTGTTGAAAACATATCAAGAGTTAGATATGTATGTCTACTTTTCCACACGTAAACTGCGACTATGTACGTCTGATCTGTGTACCAAAATGATTTCGCTGAGGTTAGTTGATGAGGTCAGTCAAGCTTCAAGACATTTGCCAATGCGTTTTGCCAAGTGTAAAGCGCTGTAAAACTCAGCAATACACACGTGGAAATGAGGAAGCGACAACACATAACAACCGACCGGACCTGATTAAGGTTTCCACGAAGTCGGAGGAATCTGCGCACATTGTGGTGAAATCACACGAAGCATTCAATAAATACAAGGAAACCTCTGGACAAACTTAGAAACCTTTCTTGGAATAGCGTTGAATGCCAAAGAATGATTTAGCATCAGTTCATAGGTGAGAACTAATTTAGAGTTGCATTCAAGGGCCGTTTGCAACCCCGACAGGGATGTCAGGTGCAGTGGTACCATCCTGCTGTAGCGCACGCCAGAGCAACGGCACGGCCACAGCGCGAGCCCCACAGTGCACTACTTGCGCGGTTGTTTCACCCCGTGTAGCCTGCGCGATCAATGTTTCGATTGCCTTTTGATTGCATTTTTGTTTAGCTCAGTTTGCGCCACTGCCGCTAAAGGCTGACTTTTCGGGACGACGGCGGTGATCCTCCCGATTTTGTTGAGCGCTTGAAGGTGATGGGAGGGGTGCGTTCAACAGGACCTGATTGGCGGATTCCTGAGTTTGCCTACGATGAGACCTGGACCATTGGCCCCGAAGGTCACAGAAGTTCGGAGTGGAATTGGGATCAGAGTAACTTCAGCTATCCCGATGCAAACGGTGTGTGGGGACAAGCAGCTGCCCAGCAGCAGCTAAACCGAACAGTTTTGTTTGAGACGTTTGAAAGTCGCATTTTCGATAAACTATAAATTTATTGAACCAATCTGAAACCAAATCTAAAGCGCCTGGACGTGAATCACTTTGGCTGAGTAGTGGAACCGCAGAGATAGTCATATTCAGTGATTGTCACGTGTAGATTTTGTTGCCCCATGTTCAAGGACAAGGGCTACTTGAGTTCTCCAAACATCTCCACACTTTGACTCACCATCATCATCATCTCCAATCACCCCGCGGTCACACCAGCGTCCGACATCGTCATCTTCGTGCCTATCATCACGAGAACCACGTGACCCTCGAAACGCGCCAAGAACCGTGAGCACCCGCGAACCCCACGAACCCCGCGAACCTGAAACCCGGAAACCATGAACACAAGAACCTCGCGAACCACGAGAACCCACCTTTCTTCTTCCCTGCCAGTAACAAGAAGCTACTAGGGGCTCCTGGCCTTACTACTAGGAGCAAGGACGCGACTAGGGGCTCCTGGCCGTACTACTAGGAGCAAGAAGCTACTAGTAACAAGAGGCTACTGAAGTGAGCCACGAGAACTACAAGAATTATGGGAACCACGATACCCACGCAAACCACGACAGCGCCAACCACGAAAACCGGACCAGAAGAACTCATGGGACGATGCCTCAGGCCACGTTGCGTGGCCATGCCTGGAAAAAAGCTGACCACAAAGCACGCAACAGGGGGATTCGTGTTTTCATTGGAAACAGGTTTCAAAAACGTTCAAAACAAACGCCCAGAACGAGACCGTGTTTGTGACCAATGGTGGCGCGCGGGAAACCTCCCTCCCAGGGCTTGGACTGGGGCAGTAGCAGCATATTGCAACTTGGAGGTTGCCGTGGAACCACTTGTGACCTCACCAACGACCTCTATTTGTACAAGAACGCAGGTCAAACCGCTCCAGTCTTTTTGTGGCTGCTGGGTGTCGTGCTTTTGATGTACGCAGACCAAGCTTGCTGATTTTGATCACCTTGAAACTCAAACCCCTCTCGCACATGACGAGGGAGAATTGCAGGCAGAAAAGAAGGTGCCTTTCAAGCATGGCTGGTGGAGCTTTCTTGCTTCTTCGCTGATGTTTGTTTCTTGGTCTTCAAGTGTTGCAGGAGATTTGGTCAACCAGCTGGGTACGTTGACTAGACGGCTGGCATCGCCACAGAGGGCGGTTGCCACGGCGCCTGCCTTCGACCGAGCCTGCTCGGCTGCCAGGGGCGGAAGCCCTTTGAGCCGCTGAGAAGTGTCTGGGCGGCATGTCCAAGCTTGAGATGTGGCACACGTACCTAGAAGCAATGACCTCCAACCTAGCGATGGCCTCCAACCTAGGACCTAGATGCGAAGATATACTCAATTAACAGGCAATGAACAAGCAAAGAAGATTTGGAATGCAGCCCGGAGGTCCACATGACCTCAACGCTGCTGCTTTTCATGCTTGGCTCCAGCAGGAGTGAGCTTTAGCGGCGAAGTCGTGGAGGTCGTGGCGGAATTTTGACAAGAAACCTGATGATGCAAATAGATAGGATGCTTGGGTTCTCGTTTAGTCGATAGTGGCGGGGCGGAGCGAGACGAGGCAAGCATTTTCGTGGACGGAAAGATGGGTGTGGATGGGGCTGTGGATGGAAAATTGGAGGGGCGCGGGGCTGCGGATGGAAGCTGTTGGTGGAAGATGGAGGGGCGCGATACGGGAGGGCATGGCGGGACACTTTGCTGATCCATTCCCAAACTCTATAGTGTTTTTTGTAGACTTTTTGCTGAACACTTGGTTTTCCACAGTCCATGGAATTTGGAAGGCGAAGCCAAACGATTTGGGAACTTAGCAAAGACAAAAGTGCTGGCGCCCCCAAAAGCAGTTTTGCAAGCAGAGCACGAGGACAACCTTGTTCCCACAACCCTTGCTTTACCAAAAAGAAAGAGACTGCAGTTAGGTGTGTGCTGTTGGTTAGCGAGGCAGTCATCCATGGCGAAGCTTGACAGCGCGAGTGCAAGTCATTGGGGGCGGACCTGAGTATGTAGCGATGTTCCATATGTGTGGGCTGTCATCAATGCCATGGTGCGATGCGTTTTGCGACACCTCCACTAGTAGGTTGGAGGTCATCCTTCTTGTAGGTTGGAGGTTAGGAGGTTGGATGTCATCGCTCTTAGGTTGGACGCCATCGCTAGGAGGTTGGAGG